AAGATGTTTTTGATCCATTTGTGAACCAACAACTATCTACTCTTAATATTTCCTTCTCCTGGAGGATCCAGTCCTCTCTACTCGGGAATAGTACTTTATAAGGCAGTTCGTAGTTGACAGTTGGAGGCATAAAGGAGGCAGAATGCTGTGAATTTCAATGTCAACCACCACTCTATTGCACTCTGCATTGATTGATTTGTGCCATTGGCAATGTGCACAAGTCTGTATGCAGTTCATCTAGTTTCTCTCTTCAGAAAAATGTGGAGAGGAGGTAGATCTAGAAGGATCTCCATGGCCGCTGTGGTGCGGTACTGATGGCACCACTGATAGCCAGACAAGCCTGTCTTTGTAAGCCAGAGAGCTTGGGCCGTTTTCTGTAAAGCCTTCGACCACCAATCAATTGCAACATAAGTGATCATTGGTCTGACAATCATCACATAAATTCAATGGATTTGTTTGGGACCTAAACACCAAGTTTTACCACAAATCCTTCGACATGTCCCTAGCGACAGTCTGGCTTTGAGTAAAACTTTTTCCAAGTGAGCGTTCCAGGTGAGTCTTTTATCGAGGACAATGCCAAGATATTTCACCTCCGTTCCAAATGGAATAACCACACCATTGAGGGAAAGTGGCGTTAGATCGTCCAATTTTCTTCTCTTGGTGAAGGGGATAACACAGTTTTGCTGGGGTTGACAGACATGTGCTCCCTCAGGCACCAACTGTGAACAACGTCCAACACGCTTTGGAGGATTTTACAAGCTACCCTTCCCCACCTTGAGGTCAGTCCCTTTTGACCCTGAACCTGATAGCCTCGTCTTGAAGAATCGTAGTTGAAGTTCTGTTTACTAGCATGGCATAGATCCAGCCAGTTATGGTCGATTCTATACCCTTCCTAGCCAATGATTTAGGTATTGCATTGTCAAATACTCCTTCAATATCAAGAAATACAGCAACAACAATCTCCTTGACAAGGAATTGGGAGATTTTCTCAACGTGGTTGTTTAATGCTGAATCTGTCGATTTGCCGGTTTGATAAGCATACTAGTGGTTATTCAGGGGGGATGCATATAATGCTACCCTCCTGATATGTCCGTCCAGTATCCTTTCAAGTCCTTTCAGCAGGAAGGATGATTGGTCGTACCGATTTGGGGTGTGGGTCTCTCCGGCCTGCTTTAGGTATATATACCACCCTTGCTACCAACCAACTGGGTGGTATTAAGTTCCACGCCAGACTCGCTCTATACAATTTTGTGAGAATTGGTAAAATTATTTCCAGTCCGTTTTGAAGAACAGCTGGAAATATACCATCCTCTCCGGGAGATTTGCAGGGCTAAAAAGACTTGAAAGCCCATTCAACTGCCGGTGTTGTGATAACCTTTTTTGTGACGTCCCAGTCGTTCTTTTCTGGGCATTTAGCGCCCTCGAAGATGGGCGGTCTGTTGTTATCAAGAGTCAGATTTCCAGGAAAGTAGTTTTCTATCAAAAGCTCTAACGTTTCTTTACTAGAGGTCGTAAATGTTCCATCGGGTCGTTTAAGCGACCCAATTTCAGCAGTCTGTTCTCTAGAGAGAATCTTGTGAATTCTTGTGCTGCGAGGTAAATCAGAGATACTCTCACAGAACTTCCTCCAAGACTCCCGTTTTTCCTTTCTAATTTCCTTGTTTAATGCCATTAGAGTGGTTTTATAAAGCTCCCAGTTACCTGACTCTTTAGCTCAATTGAATAGTCGTCCAACTTCTTTACTTTTACTTTCCAGGCTTTTGTTCCACCAAGAAGATAACTTCGACTGCTGAGCACTCGAATTCACCCTTTGTTGACATATTTACTATATTTTTTAGTGATTTGCACTTTATGCCTTTTTTACAATAAATGGCTAACCCTCCATGTTTATTTTCCTTTACAAAAGAATGAAGCTAACTCAAAATTTTTTATTCCTATGTTTTCAAGTTCAAATTGTGATTTCCAGTGCTCTGTAGGGCATATAAAACCGCAATTCGGATTATCTCTTAGAAAACATTCAATTATTTCAACACTGTTTCCCAATGAGGTATTAGTCTTATCCTAGAGAAATTATAGATGTCTAGATCATCCAAAGAAGTAACTTTCAGACAAAAACTGGAAGAAAATGTCTTTCTGAAACAGCTTCTTTTATGTAAGTAAACATTAAATTACACAAAAAAAATATTTCAAAACAAATACATTTATATGAACACTGAATTATCCAAAAAACACTTTTCTCACATTTATTTGTATCAAGATGGAGTAGTAGAAAACCAAACATTTTCTTTTCCAAAAAAGGATGTATTAATGTTTTGCTTTTACTAACTCCTATTTTCATATTTTTTAGGTACCTTTTTGTGCGAATAGTAGTTCTCTTGTACCTAACTCCGTAGTAATTGATTGTCAAGGGGCAGTTGGATATCTGGCAGTATATCGTATTTGCTTCATTCTAACATGTTTTTTTGCTCTCATGGCTTTGATGATGATTGGAGTGAAAAGTTCTAAAGATCCAAGAAGTGGTATTCAAAATGGGTGAGTGTAATATTAATGAAATATACTGTTTAAGTGGATCGATGAAAATTCGTCGATTTAAGTGGATCGATGAAAATTCGTCGATTGGAATATTTGAGAAAAATGATGAAAATACGGTTCTCAAATTATTTATCTTTTACACTACTCATAAAACAAAACCATAATCAAAAACATTGTTTTAGCTTTACTCTAAATTAGGTACTCAATTCTAACACTCCCCTTAGAACTAAATTTACGTTGACCCATATTTTTGCTACAAAACAAATGTTTCTTGGAATTGATAGTTTTTGACAACATACATTGCTAACATCGAATTTGTGTAGACATAGTTCAGGTTGATTATTCCTTTTTGAATTTGTTCTCGTACGAAATGATGCCGCACATCAATATGTTTTGTAGTTCACTGCTAACTGCAGTGAACTTTTATTGTCCCCATTGATTTCCCGGGGTCCATGACAGTCATTCAATAAACCTATCAACCACATTCCTTCCTGTACAGCAGCAGCAAGCGACATATATTCCGCCTCAGATGTAGAAAGTGCGATGGTCAGTTGCTTTCTGGAGTTCTAGGAAATTGCAGCAACCTGTATCAGAGAGACGACGACGAAAATGGCGACGGCCGAGCGACGCGACGGCGGAACGGTGGCGATGCATACAACAATATCAACAGTATAAGTGACGTGCACGAAACGAGCAGTGGCGTTTTGTGTTCACGCGAGATACTTCTCATCGTCCCGCTCCGCGCCACTCCTCAGTCGTCATCGCTCGGCCATCGCAATTTTCGTGCCCGCCGCCTAAGTCCATTGAGTGATTTTTGCAATCGACAGACTTGCAGGGTATCATCTTCGAAACCTTTCGGCTGAAGCTTGTAGATTTCTTATGTCAAATTATTAGTCTAAACAAGTTCAAAAACATGAAAAATAGAGATAAAGGTCCTAAAAATATGAGCGATAGCTCATTTGATTTAGAATCACCTCTAGAAAAATGTTTTTGAAGGATTTTGGTGCAGGTCAAAAATTGCAATCATTATTAACAAAATTTAATTAAAAAAAATATATGGCACTTTCTGGGGTTTTTTGTTGTAAAGAACGACTTGAAAACGATTGATCAAATAGGCAGCAGTTGAGATAGCTTCTGCCCAAAATTTTGTATCCAACTCAGCAGCAAACATAATGCAACGAGCTCTTTCGACGATGGTGCGATTCATGCAATACCGTTCTGTTCAAGTGTATACGGGATATATGTTTGATGAAGAATACCTTTTTTTTTTCAAGAAACTTTTCAAAGCAGCGTTACAATATACCTTTCCATGGTCTGTTCGTAATATTTTCATTTCACAAACTCCTGTATCTTCTTTGGCACTGTGTTTTTATGTGAAATTAAGTAGACGAATACTTTCCTACTGAAGTCATCAACTAAAACCAAACAATAGTGACCAACTCCTAGTGAACTAACTAACATTGTACCACATACATCAGAATGATCTAGTTCCATTCGTATAGTAGAACGAGTTCTGGTGTGGGATTAAGTAAATCTGGTTTGTTTCCTTTTTGAACAAACTGTACGAATTTCATCTTCATATGAATTAAAATTCAGTCCATTTACACGTTCTAGAAGTTTCTTCAGGCATTGGAAATTGATATGTCCGATTCTTCTATGCCAGAAACTTTGTTCTGATGCCTCTCGGATGACAAAACTTGTATTTTGATTTGGATGATCCAGTTTTAAAAAATTACCAACCAACGTATCTGTTGCAACTAAATAATTTTTCGAATTTATAATTCTGCAACCAGTCTCACCTAACTTAATACTTTTGCCTGGAACTTTTTTTTATCATTTGGTTAACGGATAGGGGGTTCATGCAAAGGTTAGTTACATACAAAACATCCTTCACTATTACTTCTGTTATATCTTTGCCATTAAATAAGTTTGAGTTTCACATCACCGATACAATCTATAGACATTCGTGTATTGTTTGCTATTTGAACTTCACTTATTCCGATTTCTCTTGAATTATCCAGCAGATCTTGTCTCATAGTCATGTGTCGTGAGGCACCTGAATCTATGAACCAATCATCAGAATAAATTTCACCTACTACAAATGATTAGTGCAGAATGGTTTCTGGGTTAGTTTTGTCCTTTTTCTTTGGAAATTAGCAATCGCTGGAATATGTCCATACTTGTTACAGGTAAAACATCTCAGACCTTTTTTATCTTTCGGATGAAATTTCTTGATGTTTTTCCTAAACAGCGCTACGGATTGATTCTCTGAGCTATCACATTTAACATCTTGAAGAAGCTTGCTTTTAATAGAATCGGCCGTGATTTTAATTCCAGAACTCTCCATCCCCATTAACATGGGTTAATATGCCTCTGGTAATCCAGCCAATAACAGAGTGCCAAGCCATTCATCTCTTATTTTCATACCAATTCATGATCCCATTAACATGGGTTAATATTCCTCTGGTAATCCAGCCAATAACAGAGTGCCAACCCATTCATCTCTTATTTTTATACCAATTCATGATGGTTTATGAGCAGTCGGTAAAAATTTGTTCAAGGTTGACTGATACTTGATGAAAATTCATGATGAATGCAGGTGGTGTTCTTCAATGCAAGCAGACTGTATATAATAAGGTTACTGAGACTTTTATAAATTGNGTCCTCAAAACGCACTTGTTTCGCGTTATACTTAGTTTCGCAACTTATTACTTACAAAGAAATGAATACCGTTTTAGTACAGATGGAAGCTGCAATAAATTTTTGCCCTTTATGCTCCATCAGCTCGGACGCCAGGTTTTAACTTGTGGAAATGAAACATTCAAGCATTTTTCTGAAAAACAGTTTGAGCAATAGATTTGAACAATGTGGATGCACCAATAAAATTTGAACCAGAATCAAGTTCTTGACGAGCTATGAATCGGCGAAGAGCTGCGAGAAAATCTTCGGATGATAAATCAGAGAGGAGTTCAATGTGAACTGCTTTTATGACCATACATGGTTAGGTCAAAAGTTAGAGGGTCTATTCGACCCTCCACCGCAACCCGCAAGAGTTTTTTGTGGTCATACATACGAAAATGCAAATGTTGGCCTTGTAAGTTTTTGTTTGGACATTCGTTTGAGGGTGATATAAAGGGAACCAGCCATATCAACGCCGGTATGGACAAAGGGTTGAGCTTGAGAATTTCGCTGAGGAGAGAGGATGCCGATAATGGGTTGACGAGATGAAGAGTTGCGATTGAAACATTTGAAGCATTTTGAGAGGACCAAACGAATAGTACAATAGAAACATTTGAAGCATTTTGAGAGGGCCGAGCGAACAGTGCGCTTCGGAGTGAGAATCCAATATCTCTACATGAGAAGATATTGGAGAATTTGTATGCCTGGGTGCAAATATTCGCTTGAGTATGTTCAATGAGGAGATGAGTGAAGCGATGAGAACTGGAAAGGAGAATAGGATGTTTCTGATCCTTAGCTAAGGAGGAATTTTGTAATCTTTCGCCCACCCAGAGGATTCCCAGAGAATTAATGAATGGAGTTGATTTTCTTAAATATTTTGGGGGAGATTAAATTTGTTTTGAGAGAGTAATTTCATGAAAGGAAGAGTGATATTGCGCAAACTTTATTAAATGAGTGAGACCTGAATCTAATTTAGGGAGGAGAAGAAAATCAGAGTGTTGTTTAGAGACATTTTGAGAATTAATGCGATAACTCTTTGAATTTTGAGAAAGGAGCTAAAATTAGTGAGAAGAAGAGTAATAAAATGAGGTGTTGAAATAGTGATAATAATTGTTTTCCGGGATTCTTCTTGAGTTTCCGGAATCTCAGAGTTAGCACCTATGTCAGAAGACCAATAATTTACAGAAAGAGTCAACCAGTTCAGTCCCGCCTACCATACTCTATTAAGAAGCAAATTGTGCGAAAGCGAGCTACATGAAACAACATCAGCTGGATTATACTGAGATCTGACATGTCACCACTGAGAAGAAGAGAAATCCTCAATCTGAGCCACTCTATTCGTAACAAAAGTGCACCATACATGAGGTGATGAATATACTGTAACGAATTAAAGAATTAACTGTCTTAAACAAATTTATTTTTAACAATATTTCACTATCACAACTAATTTCTATTCCACACTTAGCAACTAACGCCTAATTTATCTTCACTGTTTGNGTTCTGCCGCCTTTTTCTTCTCCAATATCGAAGATCTCTTGGTACTTCTTGACTAACTCCCTCAGTTTTGATCGGTGAGTTGGTGGTATGTCCTTGGAGGAAATGTCAATCAACATCTCCAACTCTTTAGGCAAGTTGTTGGCTTGGCTAACAGAACTGCGTACATTCCGTATCGCAGAGGAAATGGACGAATAGTGCCCCAGCATTGTTCCTTTCTTCAAGGTCACGGGAAAGTAGTTGACATTCATGACCCTGACTGGCACAACTTTATCAACACGCAATAGGGTCTTCCCCGGTGCGATTCCTCGTTCAATTTTCTCATCGTGTATCTTGGGCTCGAACATTATCACCTTGCCGCTGCTCGCACTTCCGTCCAAGCGAGCCTCAAGGATGGTTTCAGCCCTTTCAGATACGCACACGTCTTCAGCCAACAGGACCCTGATCGTCTCTTCGCTTCTTCCATGAAGCACCAGCTCTTCTCCGCCGACACGTAGGACGACGTCTTGGAAATTCATCTCGAACCCTCTGGAATTCATTATGTCCATTCCAATGATTGCATCGTCCTCGATGTCCGCCACCAATGCACGATGTTTCAATTTTGTGCTGCCCAACACCAATTCAATTGGTAGTTCTCCAAGTACAGTGGCTGGCTTTCCTGTTGCGGTGCGTAGTTTCCAGCTTGACGGTTCAATTCTTGCCGGTGTTTTGGCTTGTCGTTGGAGAACGGCAACATATGCGTTTTTTACGGGGGCTTGCTGGTTACAGGCCGACGATTGTCCCTTCTCATCGACCCCCTCTAGTTTTCCTGATTTGGTGTCGATTCTTTGAAATTTGTTAGGCACATGTCCAATTTTCCCACAGTTCCAGCATCTTATTTGTTTCCTCTCAGGTAACTCTTCTTTCATTACTTTCCTGATGGTGGCCTCAATATCAGCAGGCACTTGTCCATATTCCTCGATAGCTCGAACTTTGCTCTGGCTCTTGCAGGATTGTTTTGCAGCCTCAAACTCCAGAGCGCTTGCCAGGGAATCCACGAGATGTTTGGGATGAGCTAGCGTCAAGGCCTGCCTCGTTTCTTGATCGCGAAGTCCATCCAAGAATGCCCGAACTGCTAACCGCTCCATTACATTTTCGGGTGTAGCAGGATTTGCCAGACGGACTAATCGAGCTATGTCGGCTTCAAACTCCTGTAGGGATTCTCCTGATTTCTGGCAGCGGTTCTTCAGCTGTGAATGGTAAACGTGCTCTAGGTGGACCTGTCCATACCGCAGCTCAAGATGCTTTACAAGTTGGTCATAGTCTTCCTGTTCCTGGGCCGTGAGGGTTTGCAGAATATTCGTTGCTTCTCCACGCAACGCCAATGTTAATGCTACCGCTTTTTCTCCTGCATTCCATCCATTCGCTCTGGCCGCAGCTTCAAATTGTCGGCGGTAATTTGCCCAAGGAGTTTTTCCGTCGAACTGGGGCGGCTTCATGGAGAGCTTTCCTGGTTCAGAACTGGCTTTGAACTCTTTCAGTTCCGGAATGGAGTTTTCGGAAACCGTTTCTGTGGGGTGGGTAAAATTAACGATTTGGTTTTGCAACTTGCTAATTGTTTCCTTTATCTCGCTGATTTCTGCCTGAACTCCTCCTTTGATTTCCTCTACTTTTGTGTTCATTTCCTTCCTGATTTTATTTATCTCTGTCTCGATGGTTCCCATCCTCTCTTCGAGCAGACTCGCCACACCACAAAGTTCTTTCTTCAATCCTTCTGCATTTTCTAGAAGTTCTTCCTTCAAACTATTCATATTCTCTAGAAATGTATCTTCCAAAATTTTCGAATTTTCCAGAAGCTTGTCTTCCAAACACTTCGAGTTTTCCAGAAGCTTCTCCTCCAGGCACTTCGAATTTTGTTGAAGTTCATCTTTTAAACTCTTCGAATTTTGTTGAAGTTCATCTTTTAAACTTTTCGAATTTTGTTGAAGTTCATCTGTCAGCGATTTGGTGTTCTCCTCCAGTTTGCCCATTATTGAACTCAAATCACCCCCAGCAACTTCGAATAAATATGTTTCGGGATCTCGTCCTGATTCAATCAAGTTATCCCATAGTCTCTTCTGGAGTAATGATTTCTTTCCGGAAGAATCTAGCTCTCTCTCTCCTTCAATTTTTGCTTCAATTCGGCGACTTTCAAGTCCACTAGGCGCACTTTCCTCGAACACATTTTGTCTCTTATTGTCTATTTTCCACAAAACTGAATACGTTTATAAAGCTCCCAGTTACCTGACTCTTTAGCTCAATTGAATAGTCGTCCAACTTCTTTACTTTTACTTTCCAGGCTTTTGTTCCACCAAGAAGAACTCTTTTAACCCTCAGTGGACAGTTCTCATGATAGGATGAGACCACTGAATCCGTCCTCTTTGGCGAGACGATTTCCGTCTTCGCTTTCAGAGAGCCACGTCCAGCCTTTTTTTCCTGGTTTTCTCGACGAGACGTGGGTCGTCTTCGTCTCATGAGAAACACCTGTTGTTTGGTTGAACTCCTCCCCATAGGTGGATTTCTACTCGGCCCCGCTTTATTTACTCTAACGGGTACGATAGAGTGACTAGTTTGAGTAGTTTCCTGCTGGGAGGGTGCCCGGGGTTTAGGGCGGAATAAGACCTGCCAAAACCAAAATGTGGTCTGAAACCCGTCCTCGCTAGCACGGCCATGGATCCATTGTCTACAGCGAATGTCCATGTTTGACCAGGGCCTGACTTTTCCTTGTGGAGGATCGTCCACTCCAAGGTTGACAGACCATGGTTCATTTTCCTCAATCTAGCGAGGACCTGTTCGGAGGTCAGTCTATGACCTACTTGCCTCCGTCAGGTAAGCAACACAGATGCGTGGCTTCGGAAGTTGGTCACCTGTGACGCATTTCAGGATTTTGACCATTTAATAAATTTTGTTGTAAGTTACATTCGTTTAATAATCACCCGTCAACTTTTTTTCCCTAAAGCGATCTAAAAAAAAATTATTGCCATTTTTAAAAATATCCCTAGACTTTTCCGATGTGTGTGTATATATATTGCAGCATAAGGCATGTAATTGAGTATGGATAAAAGTATTTCCATTCCGAATGGATATATTCCAGCAGATCTGAAGGGGTGAAAGAAAATAAAATATTACCGGTGGTGTGATAAATTTCGTGAAGACCACTTGGTCGTTTTTTTTTGGACGGATCATCGACAAAAATTCAATGGGTCAGCTCTCTGGAAAGAATTTCGTGGAATGTTCTGCTGGTAAATCAGAAATACTTTTACAACACTTTCTCCAGGATTCCCATTTGGCCTTTCTGATTTCTTTGTGGCAAGTCGTGGGAGTAATTTTTTAAAGCTCCCATTCACCTCACTCTTCAGTAAGTAAGGTTGATTAATTCGTACTTGGAATTTGTTTCCAAGGACGTATGAAGGGGCCTTAGAATGTTGTAATTTTGCCTGTAAACACTTGAATGCAACAAATTGTCACTGACTTCACCTACCATCCCCCATTGAAGAGTGAGTTGGTTCATATGGTGAAGACACCTTTCGTTGTTGAGGGGCCACTTGGATCCTTTCACGAATTCAGTTTTGGTTTTCGTAGAGCCAAGTCTGTTTTTTCTAGGTTTTCTGACGCGATGTTACCAGTTTTTGTCTCCTGAGAACCACATGGTATCCCAGCCTTAAGATGGGTACGTGCCTGTTTCAGGGCGGAATAAAACCTGCCCAAAACCAAAATGTGGCCATCTTCTCCAGCACGGCCATGATGAATCACCATCGACAGGTCAATGTTTGACCAGCGCCTGCAATTTCCTTGTGAAATAATTCACTCCAAGGCTGACAGACCTTGGTTCATTTTCCTCAATCAAGTTAGGACAGTCTGTGACTGCGACTGCCATGGTATGCCACGTACCTGCTCATTGTTTTTTTTTGTCATTAATTTCAGATTGCCTGAATATCTTGTTGAATGGTTTTGTTGATCTACATTGATTTTGAAACTCAAATTTGGATTTTTGAGCTTATTTCCAACCAAACGAATGAATACACATAATTTGAATTTATTTAAGGACGACATCTAATAGTTTTTTTTTTTATACACTGCACTGTTTGGTACCTTTGGTGTAGTAATTAATATTACTGGATTTCTCCCAACACCAAACCGTTATTTTTTAAACCTCAACACGCGTTTCAATCACCAAGTGATCATCTTCAAGAGGAAGATTAAACTTCCTTGAAAATGATCATGTGTCGAGGTATTCAAAAATAACGGTTTGGTGTTTGATAGAACTTCAGTAATATTCATGGTTTATACAAGTTGATTTTAGGCGCCTTCTAGTTTAATTTAAATATACACTTATCATTTATTTTAAGAATAAATGTGCTCACATTTATACTTTGTTCATTTCGATATCATTAAATTTTTTAAAGTAATTTACACATTCAGATCAAGAGAATGGGTGATGACATTTCAACTTTCTCAAAAATGACTTACCGATTCGGGAGTGGAAAGCTTCACTTAACATTTAGTGTTTGATTTATTTCAAGCAGTTGATAAACAAAAAAAAATATGTCAATTTAAGGAATCATGTCGAACAATTATAGAAAAAATTATAAAAATTCTGTTCATATGATTTGGCATTCAAAAACTCATGAATCAAAAGTATTTTCTAATTACAAAAATAAATCTTTTCATTTTAGATTTTGGGGCTTGAAATATCTTCTGGTCATCGGTGGAATCATTGGATCCTTTTTTATTCCAGAAGGTTCATTTGGTCCGACTTGGATGTATTTTGGAATGGTAGGTGGCTTTGCATTCATCTTGATACAACTGATTTTGATTGTGGACTTTGCTCATTCATGGGCCGAGGCTTGGGTTGGAAACTATGAAGAAACAGAATCAAAAGGATGGTATTTTGCCCTCATTGGTATGACTGTACTCAACTATGCTTTGAGTATCACAGGAATTGTTCTTCTCTATGTGTTCTTCACTAAGGTAAGTTGTGTTCTTCACTAAGGTAAGTTAATGTCAACCTATAAGTAACTTATGCCTGGCAATAAAATTTTAAATGCAAAAAATGCATAATTATTTGAATACCCGAAATACTAATTCACAAACAGACTATCCACAACAGAGAAATCTGTTGAATATGTGTGTATTCAATTCATTTGATTGAATAACAACATAATTCAATCTGAAGAGTAACTTCAAACATTGTATTACGAAAAGCAGCCAGACAGAAATGTTCATCAATTTAGAATCAGAATTTGTAAAGGAATATATTGAACAAAGATAAAGTTTTTGAATCTTGGGATGAAAGTAATAAAGAAACCACATTTTTGTTTCTGACACTTTTTCATATTTTCATCTCCATATATGAAGATAAACAAGTGTGCATTAGCTTCAAAGCATCAAAACTTTATTTCAATTTTATGTATAATAAAACTTGTTTTTGTAACATTTTCCTATTTTTGATTTTGTTGATACTTAACTTACGTTTGCAAGATTTTAATGATATGAGTGATTTTATGTCTCGTAAATTACCTTCTGTTTACACTTTTCTTCAATTTTTGAAAATAGAGCACTGTTATATTCTATTGTAAACACTAAAACTGTAAAGACAATGTGGATCGGCAATATCAGAATATTGAATGTGAGGTCTTTTATTTTTGTGGAAACCAATTTTATAATTGTGTTTTTTATATATAATTTTGTGCAAGAGTCTCTTAAGCGAAATGATAATTATACTCATATGCGATGGTGTTAACGCTGGAAGAGATGTCGATTTTCATTTTTTTTTCTTTCTGTCATTGATTGAAAACAGATACCACCTTATCAGATTCACAGATTAAGCCATTCATTTGTTTCATGTCGTTTTATGTAGGTGTTGTCTCGAAAATTTGGTTGTTGCTATGTTTTTTTTTAATGTATCTAATATGTCTAGTGGTTTTTAAAATAGAAATATTAACACGAAGAAACTAGTTTTCGGTGAGTAATTTAATTAAAAACTCATTATTTCTTGTAAAATTCGAACGATAATAATCGTATAAGTTTTGTGGGAGATATGTTTATGAAAATTCATTGTTACAGAGTCCTGAAAAAGGATTTAATTTAATTAGAAACGTTGCCAAAAAAACTATTGTTTTTTTTAATTGATTCTGTTACCCAACCAACCTTTCTTCAGAAAAATTAGTGGTTCAGTAAACTAGTTAACTGATTATTTTCAATATTGATTGCGAAAAAAACAATAAAAATGCAGGGGTTTTAATTACTTTTGCCAGTTACTTTTGCTGTTACTTATTCAACTCAGACCTTTCTCTAATCGTTTTCTGACAGAAACTGGAAAAGTTCAATCAAACCAGGTTCTGCTAATGTAATTTTTTTAGTATTTTAATGTCAAATATTTTGAAAACTATGTGAGAAAAATGGTTGAAGGTTTTGTAAATATATCTAAAACTTGTTACAGAATATGAATATCGAATGAAATGAAATATAGGGTGTATAATTTAAAGTAATGAACTTCAAACTACTTTTGGTATAACTGGAAGTGTTTCGAAGTTGAAATCATTTCAGTTAAATAACTTTCAAGGTCATTCTCATAATGCCCAAGTTTTATAATTTTTTTTACTTTTAACAATAATTATAGGCACAGCTCCTGGAGAGTGGCCCTGCACATATTTAATGAAATTATTTGGTATTTCTGGGTCATCAAATAGTATTGAGTGTTTACAGTAAAACTTAATGACTATATAAATACATAGATGTTCTATATACATGTTTTACTGTATTTTGTTTCAGTAGATAAGTTAATTATTTCTGCCATAGTATATTTCCTTCACAGTGAAGTATTTTTTCTTATTTTCATCTGTTTTACTAAAAAGAAAATTTGCTCGAATCACTGTCTAGCAGATAGAGTAATTTGTAAATGTAGTCTTTTCTATCCCACAGAAATATCTACGTTCATATTCAGGTCTTTGATCCAAGTTTTTGGAGTTACACACAGTATATCAATAGCAGGGTTTTCCAAAAGAATTTCTATCCTTCCATCGTTCCTAAGAAAAAAAATCCCAATAATGTATTTATTCTAGTGTGTGTGTACAGCTGAACAGATGTGTGACTCTGGGACCATCAGTTGTTTCTAATGAAACCTTATAGATACTGGGGGTCTTCGTGTTATAGAAAGTCATGTCGCGCTAATTCGGAGCTTTACCAAAATAATGACATTATTTTTTTCTTTGCTTATTATAGAACCATTCATGTAATCAAATGATCCGAATCTGAGTCTACAGAGAAAATAGTCGTCAACTAAATGCCTATAACTAATCTAGTAATATTGGATCAAGAGTGAGAGCTTTTCAGATATCATATACTGATCTTGAACCAGAGCAAGATATCTTGTCAGTCTAACCTGAACTAAATTCTCGAGTAGCAGGAGCAGAATCTGAATCAGTAGAGAAACCAAACTCAACATAAGCTAGTTAGCAAATGCTTACGCTCAAGCCTAAGACGAAAATGTTCTGCATATCTTGACCTAATGTATGGTCATGCCCCCTTACGGGTTGAGTGCCCTGGAGTAAAAACTTCGCCCCACAAAATAAATTTTGTGAGGGAAACTCAATACACCACTCCATCCACCCCCGCTCTCCGAGCGGTCCTCAGTCCTACTGAAGGGCACTTCAGCAAGATTAACATCTGGCCGTCTTTGGTCGAAAGTCAGCCTTTAGATGCTATTACTTTACGATCTGTAAATTATTTTATCTTAGCTTTCCTAACTGAATTTTTGCATGGGTCCCCAAAAACTAACCGGAGACGAGTGTCTTTTACATCACGTATAAGTGTTGTTTGTCAATGAGTCTAAAAGAGAGATTAGTTTGAACTGGTTGAGAAATTTTTATACTTACTGGAGTCGCCCGACAGCGTCTCTCGGGGGTGGTCTTTGGTTCTGCTACGTTGGCCTCCTATGTTTGTCCCTCTCTCGGAATCTGGGGTCATCCCTGTTCAATGCTTTGTGTAAGTCGCTTAGTGCTTGGTTGTTGTGCGCTCGAATTCTGTCGAACGTGTCCTCTGCGTGTTTCCTCATGTAAGCGTCCACATAGTGTATGTTCAGGTCTAGGTCTCTGAATATGTACCTATTCGATACATATCTTGGAGCGTTTACGGCGGCTCTTACGCACTCGTTCATAAACGACTGGATCTGTCTTCTGTATGTCGCTGCGCACTGGCCCCAGGCAGTGCAGGCATACAGGATTATCGGCAGTATTATGGTCTTTATCATTAGCAGCTTTACTTTCAGTCCCATGTTGCTTCTTCGTCCGTATGGTCATGTGCAGGTACATTTGCTTTTATATGGGAAGGTTGCCGCATCATCAAGGTGAGAATCTTGCACCTTGAACCAATATCGACCAATAAAACTGCCTTTGGACCAACCTTCCCTCTCTTGGTAGCTTTTCTGGTGGTATGCACCCACAGAAGTATTTTCTCCAGTTTTGAGTACTCCCCAGTATTTTTTTTCAATTTTTTTTATACCTGAGGTTCCTTCTTAGAATAGGAATACTCCTGAGATATTTTGTAGAGTTTAGCACATAATTTGGTTTGTTCTTCCTCAGGACTTTGTTATTCAATTATTTGAAAAATATTTTTTTCAACGACCTTCTTTGGGTATTTTCACCTCCCACAATTTTAAAAATATGTAAATTGTAAGGTCAATAGAAACTGATTTTCTATCATAAAAAATGTATTTGTTTAAAAAAATGTAATACGTCAAGTACTGTTTTTATATTTATGGTATATTAATATATTGATTTTGTTTTTTAGTCTGGTGGATGTGATCTGAACAAATTCTTCATTTCCATCAATCTCATATTTTGTGTTTTGGTGAGTATAATAGCGATTTTGCCAGCCGTTCAGGAAAAGCTGCCACGTTCAGGTCTGTTACAATCTTCAGTGGTGTCTCTATATGTGATGTATCTCACGTGGTCTGCTGTTGCTAACTCTGCAAGTAAGTACACGAAACTCTTTCTTTTGAATATAAACTGCCCTTCCCACTTATAAAGCGTAAAACAACAAATTGTTCACATTTCTTATTTAGATAATGGAAACTGTAATTCGGTACAGATTTGAAAAATATTTGCATCTACAGAATAAGATTATGTTAATGATATCAACTTTGCCCCAACATGTTTCAGTTCCAAGATTTCAAGTCACCAGGAGATATTATCAGATGGTAACGTTTACAGTAGCGGTTCAGAATCGAAATATGCTTCATTGTCATAAGAAACATTTCATGTTAACAAACTCTCTACATAAAAATAATATAACACTAAAGCAATTAACGGAAATTATTGCAAAATAATTGTAACTGTATCATAGATATATTCTAGATTTGTTGGCCGTGGTCTGCAAGTTTTATGCCAGACCCTTTGTTTACCACTGCAATAGACATTAAAGGCAATGAGGCAACAGGGGAAGTGTTCTGGTTGTCCCCAAAGTTTGGGTCTCCAAATTCATTCCATTGGTGTTGGACGTGGCTTCATTTCTATTGATTGAATGAAATAACTCTTATTTAGATAATAGAAACTGTAATTCGGTACAGATTTGAAAAATATTTGCATCTACAGAATAAGATTATGTTAATGATATCAACTTTGCCCCAACATGTTTCAGTTCCAAGATTTCAAGTCACCAGGAGATATTATCAGATGGTAACGTTTACAGTAGCGGTTCAGAATCAAAATATGCTTCATTGTCATAAGAAACATTTCATGTTAACAAACTCTCTACATAAAAATAATATAACACTAAAGCAATTAACGGAAATTATTGCAAAATAATTGTAACTGTATCATAGATATATTCTAGATTTGTTGGCCGTGGTCTGCAAGTTTTATGCCAGACCCTTTGTTTACCACTGCAATAGACATTAAAGGCAATGAGGCAACAGGGGAAGTGTTCTGGTTGTCCCCAAAGTTTGGGCCTCCAAATTCATTCCATTGGTGTTGGACGTGGCTTCATTTCTATTGATTGAATGAAATAACTGCCATACAAAAGCAGGTAGCCAGATTTTATTAATGTTGATTCCCTCTTACTTTCGGTTGTAATTGTTTCTGTGCTTCTGAATTTCAATTACTCCCTTATAAACTCTTGAATATTAACTCTGTCGAGTTCTATTGAGAACATGGGTCTCTTCAAATGTAATAACGTTGGTATCTTCTCTAAGTGCTGCTGATTTATCAGTATGCCCCAGGGGACAGTTTCTTCTTTGTTCAGAGAGCCGGGTACTTATACTTCTCTTCGAGGTTTCAATATACACCAATCTGCAACTACAAGAAATCAAGGAAAACCCCGGTGCTGCTAAAGGCCCTCTGGGGTTACTGGCTGACCTTAGACTCTCTGATGATTTTCATTTGCCTGAATATCAATTTTATGTTGTGTTCCCCTAGGACTCTCCTGAGCCAGTGCGCAACATTCTTGACATATTGCAGAAAAGCTTTTCTATTGAAGTAGCCTTTATGGGTCGTATCGGTCACTCGACATCAGCTTCGCTATTCCCATTTCCTCTGAAAGTGTTTTTCAAATGATTGTTCTTTGGGGAGACTTATCAGGCTCACAGATGCGTTGGTCTCTTTCAACTGAAGTTTTAATCACTCCCCTCTTTTGTTCTGGCTGGTGGTTGGACTTCTTTTTCAGATACTTGTCTGTGTGTGTTTGTTTTATGTACTAACCCATGTCCCATCTTCACATCTGATCACTGATACATCCAAGAAGACGACAGTTTCTTGGGTTACTCCATTATGAATTGGATTTTTGGGTTCAGAAAAAACTCTTTTAAAACCAAAAAAGTTAGAAATACCTACTTAGTGCTTGCTATCTACGGGTGAATTAACGTTGGAAAAAACAAATAAGTGGTGATGATGTACATTGCTCAACAATTGCAAAGGATCACCAGTACCTACTTTCTAAAAGTTTACAAATTTTAAGAACAGACCAACCGTACCAGGCACCACAACAAATTTTATTGAACGTATTCCAAAAACACTTTATTGTGAGATTTTCACTAAATTGTTTTACAAAAACGCAAAAAAAATTTTATTGACGTATGTGTAAAACTGATAACGTAATGTAGCATCAACATTCTGTGGATTTTATTTTTTCACACATAAAATTAGTTCAATCCCAAGCAATTGTTGACCAGTGTACCTCAAAAAGAGAAAAAGGTTGTTGCATTTTTTGTACCAAAATGAATGCCCTGATAACAACTATTGTCTTGACTCAGTTTTAAAATTGTGGCATTTCTAGGTGAAATTGAAAATATGTATGTTTAGTTTATTAATCGGGTACCTTCAAAGTGTTCTTTTTTAATTTGCTAAACAAAAATGGTATTGTCAGAGAGGCAGCGTATCGAAGTCTCAATATTGTTGGGATGTGGGGATAGAATGCGGAGTCAAAGTGAGGTGTGTACTTTAATGCAAAATATCCGGAAAATCACATTTCCCAGGCTACTGTGAGTAAGATCTTAAACAAATTTGAAGAACATGGTACAGTGAAGGACTTGCCCAGAAGTGGCCGGCCACATGTTTTATATGAAGATCAAAAATTGGACATTGCCGTATCTGCAAGATGATCCAATTTCACTAGTTCGGACTTCCATTGTCTACTATATAAAATGATTTGAAATCCCTGAAACAACTAAAAAAGAAGAAATAAAAATTAATAGCTGAAAATAACAATTGTATTAAGCAAAATAAACCTGAAATGAAATAATAGTGAAATAAAATACAAGTAAAATAGAACAATTCAACAAAAATAAATAAAAATTATTTTATATATTGGACAATGGAAGTCCGAACTAGTGAAAGTCATCATGAAACATTGTCAATCACCTTCAAACAATCAAAATACTTCAATAGTGACGGCACAACTTGCATTTTAATGATGAAATTGAGATGATATATAGAAGATGAAATCAAAAATATTTATTGAAAAAATTAATTCATACTGTTGATTGAAAATAAAATATAAAACTGGAACCTCAGGCGTAGAACGAATCCAAAACAAGGACTCTTCTCTGTCACCAGAACTGCAATACACTTTTCGACGCGCCTATCACCAACCAAATTGGCAAAATGTAGTTATCTCCTTGATAAATGTTATTCATTAAACAGCTGTGCTGTAGTATTAGCGCACCTACCATTTTTATAATGAAGTTCAATTATCAATATTTTTTCTGCCGAAATAGGAACAATCAAAATCTGTGATAAACTAAATATAGATAAATGGAATTCTATATACTTTCAAATAAAGATCGAACTACTTTGGTTTTTATTACCAATACCGAATTCCAAAGCAGGTAATATTCAATTGTAAACAGAGCAGAGAGGTAATTCTTGAATTGGGCTAGCTGCCCACCGAAGAATTATTATCAAAAGTGAAAAGTTGCAACGTACATTTATTGCCAGATTTTTTAATAACTCTTTTTTTCTGGAAAACTACTGCATCGAATTTGAAAAGTGGGAGTATTGAAAAGAAAATCGATGCCTTTCAAATGAGGTATCCCATTTGATATTTAAGAGGGGTTGAAGTAACAAGGTTCATCAACCTATTCGCACCTATTATCATAGGCGCAAAATCTTTCCACTCGAAATAAAAATCGACGGGTCGGAGCAAATTTTTTTTTCTGAATGCCATTTATGAGAAATTGATACAGAAAAGATTCAGCCATTAAAGAAGAAAAAAATCTTGAAAACACAAATTGAACTCAACAAAAAACCAACAAAAATTAATCAAATGACAGGAGTTTACTGGGTATTGACGAACAAATCTTAAGAACAGGCATTACCAATATCCTCTGCTTGTCCTGATAGTTACAGTTCTCACTATGCCATACTTGTCAGGGTGGACTTCTTGTATGACAGCAGAAGAACAATGCAAAAGAGAATTATCATACTGTTGTAAATCATACCTTAAAGAAAATAACGCCGGCCGCCACTGGTAGCCAAAAACCAATCGTGACGTAGCTAAGAGCGCGCAAATGTACGATGTTCGCTGCTGCTCTAGATGTAGCGAGAATAATGATACCGATTTCGATGGAATTTCGGCGAAATTTTCTAGCGCATTCGATTAAGATACACACAGTCAAGTGGAAGTTACAGTGCGGTACGCGAAGCGATCTAGTAAGGCGATAGACATTCGAATAATAGTAGAAGTTATAGTTGAAGTGTTTGTTGTATTAAAAGTGAAATAAAATTAAATTTGATTATTGTTCAGTGTGAAATGAAGTTGAGTTTAATTATTTTCCAGTGTAGTCAATTATTGGTAAACCCACGGGGAAAAACGTAACAATACTTAAGAACTACCTATACTTAAGAACTACTATAGTACCTATTCTGACTTTGAAGGCATATTATTTCATTTTTGTTCAATCTGAAGAATATGTAATAACTCCAATACCATCGGTTAAAAAATCTTGAACCATCTTGTCTATCAACTTGACACCAGTGACACACAACACGGTTAATGTTGATTGGTAATACATCTCCAGGTGCCACAGATGAAAAAAGTGCTAGCCTCAACACTTGAGACACTAAACAATTCAGTCGGCAATTTATATACTGATCTGCAATTTAACAAAGCCTCAACTTAAGTCAAGGGAGTAATCTGCTCACGGATAAATCTGCAAATAATTTTTGGAAGACTTAACAGAACAGTCCCATAATCCAAAAAATTGAACTCAACAAAAAACCAACAAAAATTAATCAAATGACAGGAGTTTACTGGGTATTGACGAACAAATCTTAAGAACAGGCATTACCAATATCCTCTGCTTGTCCTGATAGTTACAGTTCTCACTATGCCATACTTGTCAGGGTGGACTTCTTGTATGACAGCAGAAGAACAATGCAAAAGAGAATTATCATACTGTTGTAAATCATGCCCTAAAGAAAATAACGCCGGCCGCCACTGGTAGCCATAAACCAATCGTGACGTAGCTAAGAGCGCGCAAATGTGCGATGTTCGCTGCTGCTCTAGATGTAGCGAGAATAATGATACCGTTTTCGATGGAATTTCGGCACCCTGTTACATCACGGTACTGAATCCCTCATATGCAACCTACTGGTTTGAAATTTAATGTATATTAATTTGTCTGTAAGGTCACTTTTATGTAAAATTATGTAAGGAAAGGTTATAGGTTACTAAGAAATGTAGAAATTCGTTTGTTGAACATATTTAAAAAATCTTCCGGTGACACTATTGATTCATTAATATAGAACCATCATTAGGTTCAAATTTTTATCCATTTTGAACTGTGTAGTCCCCATAACATGTTGCTATATTATCTTGATCAACCCAAATTTTACAGAAGAATGCAATCCTGGTCTATGGGGTATATTTGGAAAAAAGTCTTCTGGAGATAACACTTCTTATGATATCATTGGCTTGGTAATCTGGATGTGCTGTGTTTTATATTCATCTCTGCGATCTGCTAGTAAATCATCCAAAATAACAATGTCTGAAAATATGCTGACCAAAGATAATGGAGCAGGTAAGATATTTGTTTAAAAATTCAATGTATGCTGTATAGGCTATTCACATCATGATTTTTTTTCTTGATTGATGTACAAATGTTTATGTAATGGGAGATGAAATTTCAGTTTTCTATATAGAATACAGAGTTGGGCTTATTTTTTTCAAGCTGAACGATCTTTTCGGTCGGAAATTCTAGCGGCCTCTCCGGAGGAAGGGTGAGTGTAGACCAACAGCACTCAGGCCACATGTACATCCTCCCGAGGAGTTGTCCTCCTAGGTCATCGTCCATCCTTTCCTTTCCAGGAAGGTGGACAGGTCACTAGGAGACATCTCCTTTTATTGGCAGGTGTAGGCCAAGACTCGCTGAACACACACTCTCTTTGGGTGTCTAATGTCGATGACAATTTCTCTATAGTTCACTCACTCTCAAAAGTTTTCAGACAGTCTCTCAGACAAGGAAGTAGATATTCATGTGGATGAATACTTGAATAAAGTTCTAGGAATATCATGGAAACCCTCCTCATATAACTTCAAAATTTATGGTGTTCCTTTCGAACAAAATGTCACTCCCACGAAAATAAATGTTCTCTCATATTTCGCAAGGCTTTTCGATCCAATAGATTTCACAGGAAATTTTTGTAATGTTCAAATTTTGTCTGACCTAACTGAACTGTAAAATAAACAAGTCTTCTTTTTCTTTCTAATGGAAGTATTTCAGAGGAAAACATTAAACCTGCTTTTTCAGTGCATGTATTAATAACTATTAGCTGATTACATGAACCATGGCATTATGTAGTGAAAGTATTGAAGTTTTGGTTTGTTTATTATTCAGATGTTCAGTGATATATGTTCAATTTAATTAACTATTTTTTCTGTTCAGTAAGAGGCTACGGATCCGACTCTTTGGTCGAGAATGAAGGTAGGACTCCATAGTTAAGTAGATTACTATTTGTACAATGAATTAATTGTCCCTGGTATAATATCAACCTTTTACATGTTTTTGAAAACTCAAATAATGGATAATTTAATAATAATTTTCTAACATAACTTGTACGTTATTCGTTTGATGAAATCTTTTCTTGCTTTGGAGATACCAGGTAGGTGAATACGACTTTGAGAACTCCATTCATATAATTCAGTCAATTATTTCATTTCGTTCTAATTGATCAGTCCAAATGAATATTCACGGTTTTAAAATATCAATCAATAGAAGAAAATATATATATTTTGGGACAACAAATTATTGTACTTTGAAAAATTCTATTTGAATGGTTGACAATGTTTCGTTGTGTATTTCATCAGTTCGGACTTCCATTGTCTAATATAANCATTTGCACCAGTCTAGTTGAACGACTGGGGACATGTCAAGATATTTTGGTGATAAACTCGGGGCTGATACTCAGTCCGTTGATAATTTTGAATAGAAGAATGCATTCCATTGCAGTATAGTCATAGTATACACATATCTTGAAGACAATATATCGCAGAAAACTGCTGTAAGACTTCGAGTTTCACTTTTTGTGTAACGTAATGAGGGGACCGAACTGTGCAACAATAATCGAGATGAGATCTAACTAAGGAAAAGTAAAGAGATAATAGCAGTGATGCTGGTGAAATCACATCTTCATAGACTTTTTAATTAGAGCAAAAATGTGCGATTTATAGCTAAGTGTAGAATCTAGGATCACACCTAGGTCTTTGGTTTCAATAGCAGAATGTAAGGTCCGATTATATACTATATTCGAAAGTTATTGGGTGATGTGTTCGATGAAAGCAAAGAATTTGGCATTTGGACTCATTCAAACACATACCATTTTGCGAACTCCAGTTAGATAGGCAATCTATATCGTTTTGTAGACACAATGTATTAGCTTCACTTTTAATTATTTCGAAACATTTTTAATCGTCGCCAAATAGCAAAGCTTCATGGAAACAGCTGATTAGATCATTGATAAAAAGGTTAAACAACAGTGGTCCCAAATGTTAACCTTGTAGAACACCCGATGTAACTGCAATGGTATGAGAATAGTAACAATTTACGTTCTTTCCGTAAAATAGCTCGTGAGCCACTGCTATATTTGCCCATCAACACCATATAAACAGAGTTTATCGATCCAAAGCTCATGATTAACTTTGTCAAAAGCTTTGGAGAAATCAGTGTACATAGAGTCAACTTGCAAACCTTCAAACAGAGCATCAGACAAAAAATCTACGTAGGTAATCAGACCCAGTTCAGCTGGCTTGTTAGATGTAAATCCGAATTGTTGGATTCCTATAATTGGGGAGCAGTCATAAGTAAGGTAATCCAAGATGATGCTCTCAAAAGCTTTAGGGATTGCGCTACGAATAGAAATTGGACGATAATTACATACGTTGGACTTTCGTCCTGATTTATATATTGGATTAACATATGAGGTTTTCCAATAGTCCGGGAATTTGCCAGATGATAGGGAATTATTAAATATATAGAAAAGTGGTCGAGCTAAAATGAAGCTAAATGATTTGAAAAAAGTTGGAGGAATTCCATCAGGACCGGTGCCTTTATTGATATTAGGTTCGGACAGTTTTTCGTAAATTTTAGAGATTTCAATGTGATAATTGAACACATTAACCATGGATGTAATATTGGTATCATAAGTATGTAAAGATTGACTTGTATAAACTGAAGAAAATTGATTAGCAAAAAGGTTGGCAATATCGATCCCATTGGTAGCAGTACGATTACCAAAAGTCATTGTATTAGGTAAAGTGTTATTTTACCTTTTGCTGCTTACAAATTTCCAAATTTAACATTATTACAGTGAGTTGAATGTAATCTGTATAACATTGTCTTGCTAAAGATTTACATCTAGATCTTGAATTGCTGGTACACATGGTGCAAAGGAGAAGAAAAATTACTATGGAGAAATTTATCAAAAAATGTCAATAACAAAAAATGTAATTTACCTATAGAATTGATTTGATAAGAAGAATTTGGAACCCCTGGCGTGTAATGAATGTATTTAAGACTGTTTTTCCTCACCAGACCAGCATAACTACCTCTCGACGCACGTTTTACTAACCAAGTTAGCTTCTTCAGAGATGAATAAGGCTCATTTAGTCAGCATCGTCTCCTGATGATGCCAACTTGGTTGTCGAAACGCGCGTCGAGAAACGGCGTTTTTGTTCTGGAGATGAAAAAGTTTTTCAATGGATTGAATTGATCGTTTAAAATTTTTAATATACATATTCACACAAACTTTTCAGTTGAATTCCTTGAGAAATTTGGAGTCTTATGTATTAAAAAACACACTTTAATGTGAGATATCCACTTGAAAGTTTACAAAACTGTGACACAATACTAGTATTGTGATGCCCGAAGGTGCTATTGTATAGTGAAACAAGTAACAAATAAAATTCAGACACAAACTGGAAGAAAAAGCATGATCTAAACATCTTCATGAAGAGTTCATTTAAAAATTGATTGCTTGCTTCCTTTCTTTGTGAAATTCCCACATTTTTTTCATAAAGATGGAAAAGTAGAAAACCAACACCTTTCTTTTCCAAAAATTAACATCTAAAAATTCACCACTTTCAATTTAAATTGAGCTTGAAAAAAAGAAGATCACTTTTTCAATTTCATTTGTTTGAGAAAATACGTGCAATATGCCTGTGGTTGATAACTGACACAAAACATATAACTTCAAATCAAAAATTTGATAAATTTGCATAATTTGACTCGAAAGCTGTATCACCAACCATTTACTATTTACAAACTTGCCCGAGCTCTCTCAACCAAAATTTTTGGGAGAGCTTTGAATAAATGAAATTGAATAATTTTGTAATTTTTTTAAGATTTTCAGTGCTCGAACAGTGAAACATTTTCAACTGGTGATAAATAATCTTGAATTATTTTATTTTTTTGGAAGAGTACCATAAAATCGGAATTTACTTTTATCTCAAATGTGCAGTCACATGAATCCATTTTTAAACGCATCTTCAGTTATTTTGAAACAAAGTAATTCAAGTGGAAAACTAGAATTTTCAAATACATCGTTTGAGAGGATATTATTACAACAGACTAGAGCACATCTTCAAAGAAAAATATACGTAAATCAGTGCAATGAATGTTTATTCAAGTGCAATTTAACAATAACAGTGACATAATTAACAAAAATTTTGTAGAATATAGCCCAGTCAAAATTTTTCAGAATATCGTTCAATGATTCGTGTGAATTATAACAAAAAGCAACTATCGCAGACAACTTCAAAGGATTGGAATAGTGAGAATTCCGACAAAGAAAGTCATCCATATAATCCAGAAGATGAAAGATTCAAAATTTCAAAGCAAAACTATACACCTCCATCTACTCAAGATATAAAAACTTCTGGACCATCAAATTGTGCAAGTTCTTGTACCAAGTGCAGTCAAATTAAAAATGAACATTTCATCAAGTGTGACGGAAAATGTAAAGAATATTTTCATATTAGCTATGTCAAAATTTCGCCGACTCAAGAAAAGAAAATCAACTCATTAAAGGGAATCGTAATTAGGATGTATGAAGACTGCAAATGTATATTTAACAGCTTCATCAGGAAACCCGTCAGTGAAGATAGTCTCAGTGTGGTATTGAGTACAATATCAGATCTGGAAAATCAAATTACAGATAATTATTTCAAAATTGAATATGTTAAGAAAATAGAAACAGAAAATACATATTTATACATATTTGCAACAGTTAATGGATCTTTATTCAGGAAAAATCTCAATAGAGGAAATGAAATATTTTTTCGTTGGCAGTCATGTAGAGTATACGAAAACAATCATATAACTCAGTGCGAAAAATGTTTCGAGTTCAATCATTCTTCAAAACATTGTAGAAATAGCACAAGGTGTCCCTTTTATGCTGAAAAGCACCTCTTAAAACACAGTAACCAAATTAACAGTAGAAAAAAGTGCTGTAACTACCACATACCTAAAGAAACATACAAAAAAATATTTATTCAGCCATATGATGACTGACATATATGTGAATCATATAAATATATTGATAAACTCAATATATATTGAATAAATTTTCAAATTTGAATTCATGGATCACAACACAAAAGTTTACAAATATAACTCACTTTTTGATCACATATGTAATTCAAATAAGAACTTAACAATGTTAGTCCTCTACGCTCGATCCATGAAAAACAAAATACAAGATTTAGAAATAATCATAGCTGATATAAAAGTAGATATCGTTATTATAACTGAAACTTGGATCAAAGAAAAAGAAAAGAGATACTACAACTTCCCAGATTTTTCTGCAGAGTTTTCATGTCGAAAGCAATGTGCAGGTGGAGTTGGAATTTTTATTAGGAATCATGTAGAGTATGACCTCATAAAAACGTCGAACNATCACTCATCGGTCATTTCTGGCGTGGTAACCTCATTTGGATGACCTGGACGCTTATCTCCGTTGAATTCAGCTGTCCAGTATTCATCTCGTATTTGATAAACATTGAATTACGCTGTTCATGAAACAGGTGTTACCAATTTTTTTTAAACCGTTTAACCCAAAGGTTTTTTGACTGAAGAATTTATCACTGAACAATCCGAATTATCTTCAAAACCCATTTGAGAATTTTGCTGAGAGAAAGTTTTTTTCCATTTGCCTTTATTTTAATTCCATAAAGTGGTTTGTTATTACCTCTCTTTTCTTTATAAAATTGGTTTTCAGGAAATATGTAAATTTCATCAAGTTTTTTGGAATCAGAAAGAGTACCGAAAAACGAAGCTACTTTTCCTCTTTGGATGGCTATACTAATTTTCTGAATGAGAAAAGATGTGGCTCTTGATTCGTGGGTTTCATCGGTTACCTTTTTTACAATTTCATTGATGAAAGATAAGGCTTCAGAGCCAAAAACACCAAACGTTTCAACAGCTATTGG